GGAAGTTCAACGGCCTTATTCACTACATAGCAAGAACATGTCATAAGATACAAACAAAAAATTAGTTGAATACCAACTAAATTGTCCTACATCTATATGGCTAGTCATGGAGTCCTTTTTTTTTTCTTTTTGAGATAGGGTCTGACTATGCAGCTCAGGCTGGCCTTCAGCTCACTCTGTAGCCCAAGCTAGTCTCGAACTCACAACAATCCTCCTGTCTCGGCTTCCCAAGAGCTGGGTTTACAGGTGTGTGCCACCGTGCCACGCTGTGGAGTCATTTATTTTTAACAGATATTTAGAGAGCCTTCGCCATGTGTTGGACATGGTAGTATCAGTGAGTCTGGGGATACAGTGGTGGGTGAGACATGCATGATCCCTTTCCTGACAGCTTATTGCATAAAGGGTATTTCAGTCAAGCCTCCAAATTCCTTTTCCCTTTTATATGTTTCAGTGGTTAAGACAAATAGGTTTTCCTGGCTAAATCCATAGCATGAGGGTAATCCAGGATCTTGAAGATGATTGCTAAAGATTTTTACAATATGGCTTATTAATGGACTTGCCACCTTAATCTTGTGCTTGAGTCTCAGCTTACAAGATGTGATTAATATTTTAGTTCCTCTGGATATAATCATCTGTGTGTGTGTGTGTGTGTGTGTGTGTGTGTGTGTGTAGCCAGCTCAGCCCGCCTGGGGGCGGGGCTGGCTGGCATGTGGTGCTGGGTATTGAACCGCAGTCCATGTGCTTTGCTAGGCTTGTTCTAAGTAGGTGCTTTAGACCACTGAGCCATCTCACCAGCCCCGTGGATATAATCATCTTGAAGCCTTCTGTAAGGCCCCTTTTATAGATTGACTTTAGAGTGCATGATTTCATGAAAAGCATGCATTTCTGAGTTTATCACACTCATTGCTTACGGACTGTTTGCAGAGGGTATTGAACAAGTCCTGGAGTGAGTGAGATGGATTCTGTGACGCTGTCATATCTTTTGGGGGGAGAGGAGCAGGAAAAAAAAAAAAAAGAAAAATCTATTCATAGGCACATTGAGAATGGGGAAGAACTTGTCTATTATTACAGGTCTGTGCTACCATGCCGAGTCAGGCGAACTTGTCTATTATTGTGTATTAACCTTTCATGTCTTTTTTAGTCGGGGAAATGTCTGATGAAGAGATCAAAAAGAAGACACTTGCTTCAGCTGTAGCCTGTTTAGAAGGGAAGTCACCAGGGGAAAAAGCAGCAATCATCCATCAGCACCTTGGCCGCCGGGAAATGACAGATGTAATCATTGAGACCATGAAGTACAACCCAGGTATGCTTTCTGAATCCCTGGATTCTCTTGTGTAATATAGGCCCCTGGTTACCAGTTTTATACATGATGTTTGATGCAAGCTCATCATGTTGAGTTTTCTTTCTCACTGCTTATGTGCTGTATGTGTACTTGTTTATTGTTGTTTTGCTTCTGTTTTTATTATTTTTTTGATACAAGGTCTCACTGTGTAGTTCAGGCTGGCCTTGAGTGCACAGTGATCTTCAGCCCCGAATGCTGGGATTACAGGTGTGTACCATGGCTTATGTGATGCTTGTTAAGCCATGGTTTACTGCCTCTAAATGTTTCTTATGAGTCAGTCATGGTGCTGCACATGTATAATCCATGTTATTCAGGAGGCTAAGGTAGGAGGATCTGTTGACTTTAGTTCAAAGTCAGTCTGGGCAGCATATTAAGACCTTTTCTCAAAAAATATATATAGTTGATTAGTTAATTCATCCTAGTAAGTTGGATTTGCCACTGTAGTCGGTGAGGGAGAGCTCCTTACCACTTGTTCCAGTAAACTCTTCTCTCGTTGCTGGGACAATTACCCGACACCCAAAATGAAGGAGGAAAGGTTTATTTAGCTCACAATTACTAGAAGTTTCAGTCCATACTCAGCTGGCTCCAAGGCAGACTAGCACATGGCAGAGGGCAGCAGTTCATGGTGGAGGAAGGCACCAAAACAGCAAGAGCAAAAAGGGAGGAGCAGCAGCAGCAGTGGCAGCAGAGAGCAAGTCTGTCTCTCTTATGTGGCATTCAGGCTGTCCACCCCAGGCTGGGTGTAACACTCAGAAACCCCAGCCTTGGATCATGAATTAATCACAAACTGTAGACCTGCGCCTCAGTGACTGCACGAGGCCAGGGTGGGGGTGGGGTGGGGGGCAAATACAAACCATGACACCACCTCAGTCGGCGGCAGATTGTAAGCGCATCCAGATAAGCACATTGTGCCTCCTCCACTCTGCCCTCTCTCTCCAGCTGAAGTGGTGACTGTTCTGTGTCTTTGGGGGCGGTCAGAACTGGTAGGTTAGATTTTCAAATGTAATAGCCCTGGGTGTTTGTCACACTCACGAGTACATGATAGAAGATGCCTGCTGGATTGTGTTACGCTACTACTGGATGTAAGCGCTGTCCTTGGATTTCTCAAAATTGAGATTTTTATGGGTAAAAGGAACTTTGAAGTTGGGGTGACCCTAAACTCAGCTGTTGTGTGAGTTTAGTTCTTAATGCAATACTTTACAATTCCTCTTTAGAGTTTATTGTTCTGACTTGTATTTTAACCTAGTTAGAAGCATTCAGCATATTTCCAACTGTTTATCATCTGCTAATTTTTTGATTTATGAAAGATGAGTTAAAAGATACAATGGAAGAAAAGGAGTCTTCAGAAGCATCTCTCCCTACGCAGAAAAATAGAGATCAGAATAAAGAATGTGTAAATGCAGCTCCTGACTCTCCATCCAAACAGCTTCCAGACCAAATTTCATTCTTCAGTGGAAATCCTTCAGTTGAAATAGTTCATGGTATAATGCACCTTTACAAGACAAAGTAAGAAAAAACTTTCCTTTTGGGTTGATCTGTTTTTTGCCTTTGCGTAGAGAAAACTCTTGGCCTTTCATGTACTATGTGTAAGGGAAATCTTAGATATTTTGTGTTCTCTTGATCTTTTAAATAGGGTCAAAGTTCTTATGAAACAAGCATGTACAGGGCTGGGGAGATGGCTCAGTGGAATAAGCACTTGCCTGGCAAGCGCAAGGGCCTGAGTTCAATCCCCGGTTCCACCAAAAAAAAAAAAAAAAAAAATAAGCACTTGCCTGGCAAGCGCAAGGGCCTGAGTTCAATCCCCGGTTCCACCAAAAAAAAAAAAAAAAAAGTGTTGTACAAACATGTACAATTTTAAAAGTTAGTCTCTTAAAAAATAGAACATATTCCTTTAGCAATTAATTAGGTATGAATGGTGAATGGAAAGAATAAAAGCAAGCAAAGAAAATAATCCACAACATTATTGTCACCTCATACCCCCACCAAATCTTTACTAAAGAAACTAAGTTACTTAACTAATTATAATGGTATTACTGCCTTTTACTTTGTTGTGATGTATGTGAAGCTTACTAGAGGCACAGAGAAAGGAAGCATTTGGCTAGATAGTCTACAAGCTGGGCCATCAGCCTCTTTCAAATGGTATTGATATCTTAAAGGCTGTCCTTGTTCTAACTTGTTGGTCAGATCCCTCCTGGGAAAACAGCTGTCAAGTGAGCTTTTAGCATTTCCAAAGCACTTGAAGCTGGACGTGGTGGTGCATGCCTGTAATCAGTCCCAGCATTCTGGGAAGCTGATGCAGAAGTATTGACAAGAGTTCTAGGCCAGCCTGGGCTACATAGTGCATTCAAGGCCAGCCTGAATTACAGAAGAAACCATGTCTCAACAATTCCTTCTTCCCCAAAAAAAATTGAATTGGGAGAGATTTTTCTTTCCCCTTTTCTTTTTGTTTCCCCTCTTGCAACCATTTCAGCTCAGCAACACTTTGCTATCTTTAATCTCATCCTGGGGCCGAGGAGATGGCTCAGTGGAATAAGCGCTTCCCTGGCAAGCGCAAGGGCCTGAGTTCAATTCCTGGTTCAGGAAAAAAAAAAAAAAAAAAATTCATCCTCATGGTTTAGGAGTCTTATAGATTTAGAGCTCTTATTTTCTTATTTTCATCTAAACCCTTTGCAAGAAGTCCACAGCTAGAAGTGAGTTACTCAATAACAGATTACCAGTCGGAAAATAAAATTGAGTAGAACACAAACTAAATTTTCCTAGTACTAACTTACAACTATAACGAGCCTTTAACTGAAGAGTGAAAATTCTAGTAGGAGTATAATGTAGAACATTTTTTTTTTTAATTTGTGTGTGTGTGTGTGTGTGTGTGTGTGTGTGTGGCCAGCTCAGCCCACCAGGGGGCGGGGCTGGCTGGCATGTGGTGCTGTGGGATTGAACTGCGGTCCCTGTGCTTTGCTAAGCTTGTTCTAAGTAGGTGCTTTAGACCACTGAGCCATCTCACCAGCCCTATGTAGAACATTTTAAAGTTTGCCCTGGTGTCCACTTGAAGATATGTTTGGAGATTTTTGCATTTGTTTATCTAGTGTGTATTTCAAGCAAGGTATTTAAATTGATTTGTGGATATTACAAGTTGTATTTTTCCTATTTTCTTGGATATAAAAGTTACTTTTAGTGTTATCTGAACTAACCATACCACATCTATTTAAGACAGTCTGATTATTGTCTTATTAGTAAGATGACCTCCTTAAAAGAAGATGTGAGGCGCAGTGCCATGCTGTGTATTCTCACAGTCCCTGCTACAATGACCAGTCATGACCTTATGAAGTTTGTCGCCCCATTTAATGAAGTAATTGAACAAATGAAAATCATCAGAGACTCTACTCCAAATCAATATATGGTGCTGATAAAGTTTAGTGCACAGGTAAAAGTTAAGATATTAAAAATCTTTTTGCCATAGAAACTGTCATTTTGAAATTGTATGATATTAGCCGTGTGTGATTTAGTGCTTTGCACGTAAGGTTCTTGATATGTATCTTCTGGGTACTGTTGTAAACATAGATTTATGTCTGAATTCATTACGAGAAATAAAACTGTTCTTCAAGCTAGAGATTAGCTCAGCAGCACAGCACTTGCCTGGCGAGTACAAGGTTCTGAGTTTGAGTTCCTACACCAAAATACCCAAGAAACTATTACTCAGGGGCTGGGGAGATAGCTCAGTAGAATAAGCGCTTCTCTGGCAAACGCAAGGGCCTGAGTTCAATCCCCGGTTCTGCCAAAAAAAAAAAAAAATTACTTGGACCTCTTAATGCATCTTAATTGGATTTGAAATGTGAGGTTTTATTCACTTAATCAGTGGTAAATACACTAGTCCAGCAGTAATGCCCAAGCTTTTGAAGTTGACACCATTTTATTTGCCATTACCTTTACTTCTTTCATTCTTTTTTTACAAGATGCTCTTTGACACATTTTAGAAAAAAATTTTTTTGGATGATGGTTATTTTGTGATATGTTTTGAAGTGTTAAAGAGGTTTTTATATCCTTGTTGGAAATCACTGCAGTAGAGAGACTGGAATAATGATGTTTTTTATTTTTGGTTTTGAAGGTGCTTGTGCATTGCTGCGGAAAGGTCTTTCTGTCCCCACCTGCACTGGGCAGCAATTTTCATGCACTTCTGTTTTAAAGATGTTAGAAAGGTATCCTGTTGGTTTTGCCTACTGTTCTTTTGACATGCATGTTACTATATGAATAAGCGGTAAATATTCGGTTATCCTTAGGTTCATTCAATTTGTATTTTCTGTTAAGAGCTTGTTGTACATGTCCACTGGAATGTCTTTAGTTTTTTTGTTCGTTTTTGTTTATAAGCAGGGTCTCAATATGTAGTTGAGGCTGGCATTAAACTCTGTAGGCCAGACTGGCCTCAAACTCAAAGTGATCCTCTTCCCTCAGCCTGCTGACTGCTCGGATTACAGATATGGGCCACTTTCTTTAGGTTTTGAAAAGCAGATTTGGTAC